ATAAAGTTGACCAAAAGTTTTACCGATAAAGAACTCATGACGTTTCATTGGGTTAAGCACGAACGGGACCTCTGAACGAAATACAAGAGAAGATGCGGTAACCAGTGATAAAAATGGGACTGATGGTGAGGGTGAATCAGAAGGTTCATTCGAAATTGGTCGTCACCGTTTAGATAATTTAACAGAAGTCATTTTAGGTGGTAGGAATAATAATGATGGATCTGATGACGATTTAGATGATGAACAAGAAAATGATGGATTGGAAGAAAGCGAGCTGGATGAAAGTGAATCGGAAGGTAATTCAGAAAAATAATTTCAATCACTCTTATATATGTATATATATTTTTGTTTCAAGAGGCATATTAACATGAACCGTTTGAATTAGTCGGATATTTTGATAGAACACGTGAACCAGTAGGAAATCAAGTGTCAAATGGTTCGTCATCATCACTGTCGCAAAGTCAAAATTCTGGTGAGGTCGAAGATGAATTATTTGATGATGATGAACAACATGATCTTTTCGATCCACCAAATGATGATGATAATGAATCCTATGAAGAATCAGATGATGAAATTGATTGGCATCTAGAATTCTACATTGATGACCAGCGTATAAATTTTGATTCTACATTATTTGAGGTTATTTATCGGCATTTGCTACGAACCAACGTCGAACAATCAAAAGAAAAATTTTGGAATAACGATGATGAATATATAATTAAATTCAAAAAAGTAGTATCTGCTTTTCCACCATTCCCAGATCACTATGTTCCTATCAAATTAGGGACTGGGAATGATGCCTATGTAGAGCTTGTCACGAGATTTATGGCAATCCTTCATTCTATTTACTCAGATGCTGTTTCAGTTGATAAATATGATCCTAGTCCGTTCGTGTCACAAGAGCTAGAAACACATATTGATATCGTTGTAAACCCGGTATCTATTTTGACGCGAGTTTTTCCTGACGCGTTTCTCAAGATTTGTTCAGAGGTCCCGTTCGTGCTTAACCCAATGAAACGTCATGAGTTCTTTATCGGTAAAACTTTTGGTCAACTTTAT